CTCTGTGTTATGGTATAGCTTGAATAGACCCGGTTCACATGTTATCAATAGCCATAGTTGCAGCAAGAGCAAGCCTAAGTGCCGTTTGCTTCACATCTGCCCACTCCCATGCAATAAGTTAATTTAACTAGATGGATGAACCAAGGTTTGGACAGCACAATAAACATCAAAGCCAAAGGGGGTGACCACATGGGAACCAGTACAATTATGTTCCCTTGCTCTGAAGCTTCAGCAACCCACATTTCATTTATTTCGGGTTGTTGACAACTTGCAAGCCAGCTGAGTTTTGAGGCAGGAAATTTCTCTTCAAAATAAGTGCAGAAGCTTAAAGCAAGTACATATCTAAAGTCCCTTTGGGGTTTACTTTAGCCAGTGCTAATTTGTTCCTCAGATCCTGCCTTCTACTTTTTCACTGCACGTTTGCAGGGGACTGGGAACAGGGATAAATTGTAGGTCTCTCTGCTTTTTCCAAGCTGTGGGGTTCATTTTGTATTTCGTGTTTTCACTCTGTTCAATCTGGAAGATGTCTGCTGTAGAGGCTATATTAGTTGTAGACTTCAACCTGCTTGACATAAATAACAATGCAAGATTAGTGTTGACAGTTCATGAACATCGAAGTCATGCTTTTCCCCTCTGCTGCTTTGGGGGAATGGAATTGGCTTTCTCTTGGCTTCTTTCCTGGCGCACTCGGTTTTTTTCCCCATAATGGTGATAGTACAGCTCAATGTGCAACATAATACTGATTTTCTTCTGTAGTATACTTTGGTCTTTTGGCTTTTTCTATCTGTTTTACCTGCTTTGACTTTCTCCTCTCAAATATCTTGAAAAAGAAGTGGTGATAATGCTGGCAAAAACCCATCATGGTTTAGCTTAGTTGTGGGTTGTGACCCGGCATCTACAGTTGTACTTTCTTGCTCAACAGGGGTTAATTCCTCTTTTTTTAAGCAGGAAGTTCTCCCAGAATCTTTAGCTAGGCTCTTACTTGCATTGCAGGCATTTCCCACACTTTCCTTACCCTTACCTTAGGCACTAGCAAGGCAAAATGCAGCCTCACTTACTAGACCTTCATGCTTTCTAAAAGGCTCAAATAATTGACAGTGAAGTGAAATAGGGCCTTTGCTAGTAAGCTGTACTGGTAATTATGATCATGGTCTACCACCAAGTCCAGTTTTCTATTGAATTGCTCCAGAAGTAATTCAGATTTCACCCTTATAGGTTCTGGCTAAGGGATGCAAGGGTGACTAAGAAGCACTTTGCACATGATTTTAGTAACAGTTAAAAACCATTTCATAGTTTTGCTGCCACAAGATGTAGTAACAACCACCCACTTGGATGACTTTAAAAGGAGATCAGACAAATTTGTAGACAGTAATGGCATTAATAGCTGGTAGTTGTGATAGCTGTGTAATACTTCCATCATTGGATGCAGCGTGATTCTTAGTACCAGTTGCTGGGAGATAAAGGTGGGAGGCTGCTATTACACTGATGTCCAAGAAAAGCCCACAAGCAGGACTTCTGGTTAGCTACTATAAACCAGAATGCTAGACTAAATATGGCTTCAGTTTGATCCTTTGTTGCTGTTCTTTTGTACAGTAAGAGGCACACATGCTAGGAAATGAGGAGTAAGACTTTGTCCCAGAACTGTTTAAGTCCAAACTTTCCCCATCCCTTTTGCACTTAGCGTTTTTCACAATTTCAAAAGCATTTTATGTTTGAATGATAACAGATGGTATCATTAACAGTGATCCTGACTGATCAAACTGCTCAGTCTTTGAAAGGATGACAGTGCAGAGGAATGGGTACTAGATTTAACCATTTGGGTAGCTGATTTGTGAAGACTGCACAGTGCATAAATAGCAAGCATTCATTTTTCCGTTTTTCAGTGATCGTTGTGGAGAAGATCCAAATCAGAAAGTAATCCATGGGGTTATTAACTCCTTTGTTCATGTTGAACAGTATAAGAAAAAATTCCCTCTGAAGGTAAACCACTACTTATTTTTCTCTCTAATTGTGGTAATTAATTGTTCCATGCCTTGCCTTATTTTTTACTTGATCAGACTCTCTCAATTTAGTTTTATCAGGAAATTTTTGAGTGTCCTTTTCTGAATGAAACAGGGGAGTATTATAAACAAGAAGCTTCAAATTTAATGCAAGAATCAAACTGCTCACAGTATATGGAAAAGGTAAGAAGCTCCATGTATGTATCAGTTATCCAGTGTTCTGCAAGGAAAAACATGTGTATTGCGTTTGGTACATAGTAAGATCATGGAAGTTAAACTTCTGGTGATCTGTAAATAAGGGACATCTGGCCCTTGATTGCTGGCCCCAAAGATAAGAGAATTGTGGGTAAGCATCCTCTCTGGTGAGGGAACTACACAGTTCCACTGCTCTTTTCGTCTTGTTAAACCATAATTTAGTAAACCAGGTAAGAACACCTAAAAGGGTCCTCTGTAGATAATATTGCTGATACTTTGGAACTGTGTTCTTGTGTATGTTTGCTTGAATGAGGTTCCTTCGGGGTACAGCACATAAGTTTGAAGCTTTTTTTTCTTAATGGTCTAATCCTAACATTGTCCTAATACAGGATGTAGTCCTGTAGTTAACTTGAGTAGGACAAGAATCCTGTTGGTCATCTTTTGGTTCTCTTGTTTTACTGGGTTTCCCATGGTCCGCCAAGGTGTATTAAACTTACAGAGCAAAGTATATGCTTTAGGATTTCTTAAAGCATGCCTATTCTTGTGTTATGCATCTTTGCTTAAATATATAAGAAATTTTGTACTTGATTAGGCTGAGGTTCCAAGTAACTGCCAGGTACTGAGCAGTCCTCAGTTTATCTTTTGCCTATCTTTTAACAATACCAAGCTAAACAGAAGTATGTGTGGTTTGAGTAGTACACCTTTTGTTCTCAAGTAGTTGCCGTGGCCTTTCCTTTTATTTCAAACATGAATGTTCTTTCTGTTCTTAGTTGCTTTATTCTATTTTATCACATTCGTTGTCTTGAAAATTGCCTTTAGGTTTTATGTAGATTAAAAGATGAAGAAATGAGATGTCGAAAATACCTACACCCCAGTTCCTATGGCAAAGTAATTAATGAATGCCAACAGCGAATGGTAGCAGATCACTTACAGTTCCTCCATGCAGAATGCCATAGCATCATCCGACAAGAGAAGAGAAATGGTAAAGGCATGCCAAGTGCCGAAAGTCAGTGCACATGAATGTGGAAAAAAGTACTCTGCTAAAAATACCTATTTGGACAAACCTCTGCATGTATACCATTTTCAGTCACAAGTTCTCTACTATAAGTAAATATATTGATTCAAATGGGGAGCTCTTTGTGTGCCTCTGAAATGGATACCAATTGCGGTGTTCATCTAGCACTCACTGAAACTTAATGGAAACGCCCAGTGCAGATTTGGATGTGGGTCACCAGTCACATGTATTCTGCCCTGAGTGGATTGGGACCAAAACATTCACGTGAATGCTGAATCAGCACCCTCTTCCCTTTACATTACTAGGATGGTTTGTGGCTTCTCTTTGCGGTCTTCTGTTGTTTTTTTTAATTAAGCTTTACTTTTACCATGCCATAGCTAAATCTATCTTTAATGTATCCATAAGCATATGCTGTTGGCAGAATCGCCCAAGTAGCCATCTCCTAAGGTTTGGGAATGCTATCCCATTTTCTCCTCCTCATAGAGTGAGATCTATAGAGAATGTAAGCAGAGGGTATGGTTGGTGCAGCCAGACTAAAGAGATGGCATTCAAGCAATGTTTAGAAAATCGCTTCTGCCCTCACCAGGGATCTCACTGAGACTATTATATCTAAGCCAAGGCATGAAAGGGCCTTTTGGCTGGTCATAGCCAAGCATCTCCTCCCTTTGTGGCTGGAATGAACAAACCAGGAGGTCTTCAATTAACCTATATAGATACCCATTTTTCCCAACTACAATACTATAGTAAACAACTCCAAGACAAGCTGGAGTATTAAACCAACTTCATATAATTGTTTGCTATACTTTCCTGGCATGTTTCAGAGCTGTTAACTATAGTTTCTTGGCTTGGATAAAATGGAAAACTAGCTATTTAAGGACTTCTTAGATGGTTTACTTGTGTAAATCTAAACTTAGATCTATGATATCATGGGCTAACAAGTCAGGATTCTTAAGCAAACATGATACTGGCTTGTTTGGCCACAAACTATAATTTCAGGTCTGGATATATAGCTAGATGCTACCTATACCTGATCTATTTATCCACTTGCAAGAGGATCATGCAGGCTGCTTGCCTATTGTGGTTTAATAAGTCAGGATTCCTGGATTTAAAGTATCATGAAATCATGGCCTGTGTGTTCTCTTCATTTTCCCAGTATCTTAGGAAAGTAAGCACTTTCAAAATTACTGTGCTTCTTAAATGTAAGCATTTGAGAATAGTGTTTTTTAAGTATGTCTTGAAAACCTAGGTTGTCTTTTCCTGCAGACATGGCAAATATGTACACGTTGCTTCATGCTGTGCCAAGTGGCTTACCTCATATGATTCAGGAACTACAAAACCATATCCATGATGAGGGCCTTAGAGCAACCAGCAATCTTTCTCAGGAAAACGTAAGTTTTGCCTTCAGAGAGAGAAGAGTGAACTTTGTGATAGTTAAAAGTATAAATTGTTGAGATTTTTTTTTAAATGTAAAGTTGTGCCCTATTCAATACTTGAATAGATATGGGAAGCAATATATGGTTTTTGTATCAACTGCAGTACCTTTATTTAAGAAAACTTTGACTGGTTTAGCATACAATAGGAGTTGAGTGACATACATACACTAGAATTGAATTTGATTATAGCCATGAGATGGCTTTAATATGTGAGCATGTGATCAATAGAAGGACAAGTCAGGCATATACACTACTGACTTACCTTAAAAATTGAGTACCTAATGATACTCCTTCCTGTTTTCCATCTGAGAATGAGTTCTGGGCATTGGTAAGATTTATGGCATAGGCCCTGTATTTAGATGCTGCCTAGGTGGTGATAGGGTAGGTCAGAGTCCTAGCTCTAACCTCAGAAATGCATTCAAGGTTGGAGCTAGGACAGAGAACCTCCCTCTACTCTTACAGCTGGCGTGGCTCTTTCCATGCTGCATGCAACTTCAAAGTCACAAGTTGGAAGTTGAGAATGCAGGGAGAGGAGGCATGAGATTGCACCAAGATATGAAGAAATCCAGTGTACCTCAGCTCTTTCTCCACACGTGCCATGTCCAAAAAAACAACAAAACAAAACCTGTTACTGTTATGTGCTGTTGAGTCATCTCTAACTTACGGTAACCCTGTGAATAAATGCCCCCTCCCCCCAAATGTCCTTTCCTTGACAGCCCTGCTCAGCTCTTATAAACCCCAGGCTGTGGCTTTCTTTACAGAGTTGATCCATCTCATATTTGGTCAAAAGACAGATGACCAAAATGAGACATTTATGTTCTTTACAAGGCAGAAGCATTTAATCAATGTTGGCCCCTGTGTTCAATTAGATGTCTTCAATCCTTCAAGTCTTCAGAGCAAAAAAAGGTTTAAATAAGGCGTTTCAATTGTTTAACAGCTTCCATCTCTGTTATTGAAAGATTGGCAATGATCACATTGTTTCATGAGATCTGTGCAGGTTGAATATTATTAGCATACGCAGATGAAAGGGATGAATTCTTGTGACACAGCAAATGTGCCCTGTAGTTTGTGGTATTTTGTTATGCTTTCATACCCTAGCAGCTTCTACTTAGCTCTGTCTAGCAAATTTACCTGGGGAAAGCTGTTGGGGAAAAATTCATGTTCTTACTATTGCTCTTCCACATCTACAAAATCTGCTTTTCCAATCCTCAGATGCCCACTCAGTTTGTGGAGTCAGTGTTGGAAGTACACAGTAAATTTGTTCAGCTTATCAGCACTGTTTTGAATGGTGACCAGCGGTTTATGAGTGCCCTTGATAAGGTAATCCTAATGAAAAGATTAAATTTATCAGATTTCAAGGAACATACATTTGGATCCAGACTTAGTCATGGCTCACTGGTTTCACTGCTCCTGAACTTGGCTAAGTCAAGATCCAGCCTGAAATTTGTGAAGCATTTACTGATGACAAATAACAGTAGTAAATTTGGCTCTGATTGTCATGATATTAAATTGCAACCAGTGCATCTGTTCTACTTAATGAAGAAGTGGAACAAGATGGTGACCTGGTATTTGCCAGTGAATTTACAAGCAAATTCAAAATGTATTAAACTAAGCTTAGCTTCCTTAGTAAGACACAGGTTGTTGACACAGTCATGTCAAGACACTCCACTAACTTCCTATATGCTATATATTAGAGGGGTAGAAAAATCCATAAATTCCATATTTCAAGATCTAAAGAGTTACACTGGTGGAGGAAGGTACAACTACACTTGTTAGTGCTGCCCCTGAAAGCTGAGTATTCTGGAGTGCCGTATGATTGGCTACACGGGGCTGGCAAATGCTGACCTCATACATACTGACTTGCACAATCGTGCATCTCACTCGATCACAGCTGTACTTTGAATGTATGGATTAATTTTACTGAAGAATCTCCAAACAGGTTCCTTTGCTTTTTGTAGGTATCTAGAGTGGCCTATACATAGGCTTCTGTCCCTGTAAGCAACTATGAGAACTGCATGAACACAAACAAGCTTGGAATTGTAAAAAGAGTTATTAATGGCTTGTTATAATAAATGCTCAAATATGCCAAGGATTTTTTGGTTACTTTAAAGTAATTTTGGTAAAAATGTTTAAAAAACCCCCTAAAATGCAAGCATACTCGGCAGGTGCCAGGTAAAATCCTTAAAATTAAGCAAACCCCTTGGCCCCTTCTAGCATCCCTTGGGGCTAGCAACAGGTTTTTTTTATCTTTCAGTACAGTCCTGAAAACCTTTCTTAAAAGTACAATGTTTCTGGAGATTTCTCAGCAAAAAAAAGTGGGGCGGGGGTTGTCATGTTGGTTTGTGTTAGATTTACTTAATAGCTGGTACAATAATATTTTGTAAGCCGAATAGACAAGTCAACATCAGTTTCGTAGCTGTACAGCACCTGTTGGACCACTAGCAATCAGTGAAAGATTACTAGCAATAGGAAGTGGATGTAAAGAAGCAGTTTGGTTCTTAAATGTAGTTTTTATTGAGTAAAACTTTCTTATCTTCTTGGGGAAGCTTCTTGATATTAACTTCGAGGTATATGTTTAATATATGTCTATATATGTGAGCCTGATGCTGTGATGTTAATAAACCTGGTGAACATAGATTTTCTTGTGTCCCTACACAGGCTTTGACATCAGTAGTGAACTATAGAGAGCCAAAGTCTATCTGCAAAGCACCTGAGCTGGTAAGTATAAAATACTTGTTTTAAATTTAAAAATGTAAGCATAACGTTTACTTAGATAATAGCCTGAATGTCTTTTTAAAGGCTGTTGCATTTTAAAGGCTGTTTTACAGGAGTTAGTGCATTTCACGAAAGCACTGATACTTTTTTAAAAATATATATTTTCTTAATGTAAGGAATACGAAACAAAGCAGACTAAAACAAAGCATACTACCATGAAAAACAAACAAAATTGCCAAGGTAAATCTGAACACATACAACCTATACATTCAAACCCCCAAATTTATCCATCTTCCTATCTTTCATCCCTCTGTGAGTTTGTCAAAAGAAATTGGAATATTTGTTGTTGTATAGATTAACAATCTCAAATCCTCTACTGCTTTTTTTCTTTTCCAAACTTCCTTCAAATCCCGTTAGTCACGCTGAATATTGTAAAATTTCCATTCATCATCAAATTCTTCTGTTTACATAGTTAGACTAAAGCAGTCTGATGCACAATTGAGGCAAAATGCGTTTTGCTTACAGTTAACTTACAAAACTGTTGTAAGAATTATGAAGGGCGCTTGAGGCATTTTCAACTTGATACATACTTCATATACTCCATGAATTACAAAAATAGCAGTAGTCATGCTACAATTTTTTTTTGTCTTTCAAAGGAAGGTGCTCATTCTCTTAACCACATGGTTAGCTGACATGATTTTACCCTGCTGCTATTTAACTCAACAAATATTCTTTCTTCAACTTTTATTTTTTTTAATTTGAGCTGGCCAAGTATTGTGACAACTTGCTAAAAAAATCAGCAAAAGGCATGACAGAAAATGAAGTAGAAGACAAACTTACAAGCTTCATTACTGTTTTCAAATACATTGACGATAAAGATGTTTTCCAAAAGGTAAAACACATTTTAAAACTTTAATTTGTTTTCTTGTTTGTTTTCTTGGAGAATACTTTTGAAACACAAGGAAATCTGACCTCTTGCTTTTCCTTAATATAGTTCTATGCCAGAATGTTGGCTAAACGGCTTATACATGGTTTGTCTATGTCCATGGATTCTGAAGAAGCTATGATTAATAAATTGAAGGTAATTACCAGTTAAGCAATACTAATTAGTTACCTGTAAAGTACCAGCCATTGTTTGTACTTTAAACTTCATCCTTTAAGCTATTATTAAATTGATTTCCAAGGAGCTTCCCTAAACATGCTTAAAATCTTACCTGTTGAATAAGCTGCTGTTAATTGTGCTAATATGAAGCTTCAGAGGATTCAAAAATTCTATAAATTTTCTCTGAGAATTAGCTAGCTAAAGATTGCCATGTTAAGAAAGAACCAGCAGGTGGTGCCAAGATAATGCAAACTAGCAAATTTCAGCTCTTTCCATTCAAAACCTGCACAAAGGCATTTCCTCAGACTGTGAGATGGTATTTGTAGATCTCATTGCCTGCAGTACATACATTCATTTTCTGCCTAGCCAGAGTGAAATGGTTCTGTAGGGTTCAGAAGAGGTCATCCAGCATCTGGGGAAAAGGCCAAGATGGTACCTAGTAGTCACAACTACTAGATACTTTTTGAGTGGTGTCCATGATACCACTGGGGCTAAATAAGACAGTTCTTTTCTCCCATGCTTTGGAGCCATTTGAAAGATCTCCCATGATAGTATTACAGAAATTGCTAGCCTATCCACTATCACCTTGTAACAAAATGGCAGCTCAAGTGTAATTGTGTCTCATCCCGTACTGAAACAAGTTTTAAAGTTTGCTTTAAAAAGTAAATATATGCCTATTCAGTATTTAACATGGTCCTTACTTTGTTTTAAACATCACAGGCTAATAAGTTACGTCAGCTTCCAAAGGGGCTGCTGTGCCTTCCCCGAGTTCATTCTTTAAAATAACCCTGTAAACACTCCTCAGTCTGAACAAGATCAGTAGAGTACCTTGTTGCATTCCTGAAACAAGTGCTCTGATTTTGGGTTACTTTGCAAATGCACAGATATAATAGGATGCTGCCTGTAATGTTTACATTTATGTGTACCTTGACTACAAATTGTTTTTTTGTTTTGTTTTTCTAGCAAGCCTGTGGTTATGAGTTCACTAGCAAGCTCCACCGAATGTATACAGACATGAGCGTTAGTGCAGACCTAAACAACAAATTCAACAACTTCATAAAAAGTCAAGACACCGTTGTGGATTTGGGAATTAGTTTTCAAATATATGTTCTTCAGGTATTATGGCATGTCTGTGTGTTCAGGTTCACATAGTATCTATGCTTTGATCTGGTTTGTACATCAAGCAGCGGTTCTTGGGCTGTTTCACCCAGTAATTGCCAAGGGCTAGTGCTATTCTAGAGTGGGAAGCCAGAAACTGGATTAAACACAGTTAACACAAGAAATGCCCATTGTTTATTCTTGGATTAATGTCCTATGGTATTTATTTATTTATTTATTTATTTAGGAAGCTTCTATGCTGCCCCATTCGCCGAAGCCTCGAGGCGACTCACATCAATAAATAAATAATCACAATATAAAAACAATATAATTTGAGTCGACCTGGCCAAGGATATAAAATAAATAAATGATATTGTCATTTTAATTGTTAATTTAATTGTTTAAATAAAAAGGTCTTGGCCTGGCGCCAAAAAACAAATAACGATGGCGCCAGGCAGACCTCTCTGGGGAGCGCATTCCATAGATTGGGTGCCACCGCAGAGAAAGCCCTCCTCCGAGTACTTACTCTCCTAATGTCCTTCACAGAGGGTTCCCGGAGAAGGGCCTCTCCCTCTGATCTCAAGGGGCGGGTGGGCGGGCATAGATGGACGTAAGCGCTCCTTCAGGTAACCAGGACCCAAGCCATTAAGGGCTTTTTAACTCAAACAACCTGGAAATTCAGTTTTAGCATAGTATGAAAAAGCCCAGGAATGGGGATGTACCTGAATGACTGAAACCCGAAGTTGCTCGTGTGTGCTGTTTCTCTTTGGCAATTCCTGAGCTAAACAACCCAGGAATTGCCACCATCATGTGTTAACCGATTCTGTACGTATAATGGTGATAGTTTACATGGCACCTGCAATAAATGTAGCATGGAATGCTTTTGTTCAGTGTGCCAACAAGTCACGCTTTCTTTCAAGTTAATTCAGATTTGGTGTTCTGTTGCCACTGAGCATAGTTGGTTCTCACTGGACTGTTTTGGGTTTTTCTATTGTTAGGGGTTTTTTTTCACTAAAAGGAAAACACTGGGATTTTCTCAAGTGGCAGATACTTCCACTTGTAAGGCCTGTTTTTGCTATGTAGCCAGAATAACTCACACCTGAGTTTACTATCAGTACAATTGATGAGCAAGTATAGCAATTCAAAAATCATTTATTTGGTCAGGGTATTTAGCCTGCAGAAAGGTACAGACAGATCATATGAGTTCTTAACTTTGATGGATGAGAAACAGCAGGAAAACTGTAGAGAATGTAGATGCCAGCCAGTCTTGCCATTAGCACGATCCATGTGGCTTGCCCTGAGGCAAACTGCTGCTTTCAGGAAAGGTGAGGAACCTCGCCCCATTGCCAGTATTGGAAGTAAGAGCCAATTAGCAGTTTGGTAAGCTTCTGTATCTGTGATGCGGTGAGGGTGTCACCATCCTGTCCTTCAGCTTGGGCTGCAAAATACCCTATATATCATTCTCTAGTCACCCATCCTTCTTCTAATCGTAACTTTCGGCCTCTGGAAATAGTCAGATTAATTGCCTTAAACTTCCTCAGATAGGAAAATAGGAGAGTTGCAGCTTCATTTGCTGTTCTGCTTCTTGTCCACCAAAGCTAACAGCAGCTGTATCAAGAGCAGATGATTTTGGACTTTTCGTAAATTAAAAAAAGAGTGTGGCTTTTGATGGATTTCCTCTCATGGTTTCCAAGAAGGTTGCTGTGAATTGCTCTGATCCTGTTTCAAGTGGCTATTACAGGTTTGAATTTCCTTAGGAATGACAGCTGCTTTATAAGCCTTTTTAGAACTATGTTCAATGTAAAATATTTTTTAAACTATTTTTCAGGCTGGTGCATGGCCTTTGACTCAGGCGCCTTCATCTACATTTGCAATTCCTCAGGAACTGGAAAAAAGTGTACAGATGGTAGGTTAGTAGGAGATTTCTTGAAGATTTAATAACTAATGGTCCTAATATGGGACTAGAAATACTTAACACTGCAAAAGTGATTTATATTGTGCATAAATCATAGCATTACATATAAATCAGTTCTCTTTAAGGTGTTGGTGGTATTAATTTAGTATTCTTCTAACATTAGAGCCTGAACTTCCTATCCTGGGATATTCAGAGGATCATTAAACAATGGATGATTTGGAAGCTTTTAAATTCCCATATTGTTTCAGTCAGATCTGAAGTTTAGTTGTACTAGTCTCCAAATTAAACTGAAAGACTTGAAAATGATTATACTGTCAGTTCTGAAAGAGATGCAACAACTGGGCCTTAGCCCAGATCCACAAGGCACTTAACTATAGCCCCCAAGAGGCTTTCCTTCTCTCCAACCCCTCCTCCAGCAGCTCATTCTTTCCCTGCCACTGCTACCAACAATGTCCAGATCTCTGGGAAGTGGAAGCAAGGCTTACCACTTCCTTGACCAGCCAACCTGATGTGATTGCTCTTTCCCCACTATTGCTGGAAGTGAGGAAAGAACTCTGTCTCTGAATATGGATGGATCTGAATATGGATGAATGTGTGTGCGCTATGTATGAACAGAGCTCCTGACCCCCCCTCCCCACACTGAAAAAGCTGTGCACAACTGTTTAGAATATATACCTTTTTACAAGAGTGGCCATCCTTCCTGCACTTGCTGTTTGCTGCATATATTCCTACCTACTATAAACTGCATGGAGTTTGCTCCATTGATAAACTTCCTCAATTCTTGATGCTCTGCTATTGGCACATTGACCCAACCCTGTCTATTCATTTTTCTCATCAGTGTTACATGATCAGCTGCTGGGAAAGATACTAGTCTTCCTTGATTTTCAAGCCAACAAAGTTGATTTATTTTCTACTTTCTACTCGTAAATCTATCTTTGGGTGTTTTGGACATTTCTCCATTGTTTCCACTCTCTTCAGTCTCCTCTTCGTGTTAGCCAAATTGCTGCCTAAATTTGGGTGAGTGGGACTAATCAGGAAAAAACATGTGAAATTTAGCTGCAAATACTCAGCCACAAGCATCTGGTACTTATTACTGAGAAAATAGACAGCAGGTAGTTTAGTGCTTGAAATTGAAATGTTTGTTAAACATGTTAATAGCAACAAGGTCTTTTTGTGAATAATGGTAGGATCACTGGTTGGTGTGTTTTTATTTCCAAGGAACTCAGTTGCATTTTTTGTTCATTCTGCTACAGTTAATTCTGCATTCCTTAGCAAATAAACTTTCAGTATTTGGCAAAGTTTGAAAAAAGCTAGCAATCTGCCCTTTTTCCCTAGAGGGCTTTAGAGAGAAACTTCTATTCAATTCATTCACTTTTACTCACACATTCACTACATGTCTGTATTGCCCAATAGCTGAAGCTTTCTGGGTGGTTTACAAAGACCAGTAAAAAGTATTGAGAGGCAATCCTAGGACAGTACACAGACATGTTAAGGCCAGTAAGATCTGATGCGAGTGGTTGTATATTTGGAATGGAACTTGGGCGATTTGGATTTTAGTCTACACTCAGCCATAAAGCCCACCAGGTAACTTCAGGGCAGTCATTAACTCTCCGGGTAACCTCCATCACAGGATTGTTGCAAAGATAAAATGGAGAGGTAGACCATTTAAGTGGGCTTGGTTTCCTTAAAAGAGGAAAAAAGATGGAATATAAATGCAATGTAATAAAACTAATAAATCTTAAGCACCAGCACTTGATTAAAAATTCATCGTATGCTGCTAAGTGAATGAGAGAGAAGTATTATACACAAGTCCATGAGTATTGGGGTTTTGCCAGATAGCTGACCTTTGTTTGGAACCCCTGGTATGGGCTATCAGTGGAAAGAAGGATATCCTTGTCTAGTATGGCTTTCAAGTAAGAAGAAATCAGACAAAAACATCATTGGTCCTAACTTTGGTTCTTGGGGTTTCATTTTGACCAATTTTTTGGGGAAGAAAATGTTTCAATGTAGTGAAAATAAGTTTACAAAAGTTGCATCAGAAGTCTTCTCCACATCCAGAGAGATTATGGTAGCTTGGTCAGTTTGATCAGCTGCACGTACAAATCTTGTCCTTTCTACAAAAGATACCTTTAAGAACAATTCATATTATAGGTCATAGGTAATAATATATTTCATATCATCTCTGCAGTAGTCTGTAGTCATATGGTGAAAAAAGATGGTGTTACTTTTCTGGCAACAGTGGTCAATGTTTAGGTAACATAACATTTATTAGAAATCTGAGACATTTTGTATGTGTGCTTATCTTACATTTTGTAGTCCACAATGTCTTGAACAGTTGCAGATACAGTTGTATCTACCCTGAAGTGCTCCATGGCGGAGTAACTTGATAATCAATTTCCTTCAAGGGCCCATTCTTGTATTCCAGTCAGTCTTTGTGTTCCCTTCAGCTTGAGGGGATCTTTTGATCCATCTTAATGGCACCAAGGGAAGAAGCCACTCTTTTTCCAAGTGACATTAAATAAAAAATCTCAATGATTCTGTGCTGATCTAACACAGATCCTTTATATCTTGTCCCAGCTTCTTTTCACTTCTGAGGAAGAGTGTCAATCTGTCTTTAACATAAGTTATTTCTATTGTCATGTAAAATGAACTTGATTTTTTTTCCCTGCTAAGGAATGTCTGCTGGCTGTTAAGGGATTCTCAGAGGTTTTATTTCCCCTTCAATAGAGACATCATTCGCCCTTTTGTGCGTGCCTTTTTAATGGCTTGCTGCTTTCTAGCAGTATCAGGATTTGTGCATTAGCCATAGTTGAATGAGGATGCATTAGCCCATGATGTAACTTGACTCATGGAACTATCCACCAGTCTTTAAAGTTCCTGCATATTACTAGGCAGTTACTGTTAAGTGTGGGTGCCTTTAGAGTTTGGAAGAATGTGCTGGGAGTATGAAGTGCTGTCTGCCTTTATAGGCTTGGGACCTGAATACCAAGAGCATTCTAAATTGCTACCTCAGTTACAACACCCATGTCAAAGACCTCCCTGCAATGCCAGGCTTGGCAGATTGAGTATATGAGAAGACAAGTTGACAGGTGAGGAATAAAACTGTGTACCATAGTAGCAACCCAAAAGGTATTGTTAAAGATCCTAAAATTTTCCACCCTTTAGTGCCACTTCTGTAGGCTTTGTCCTTTCTTTTCATGTGACTTTGTGTTGGGGCAGAAATCTGCTAGTACTGCAAGACAGTCCCCAAAAATGTAGGCATACATGGCAATAATAAAATAATTGACAGAAAATAATAAGTGTTATTCCCTACTCTGTTCATAAAAGCAGAACTTTTAGGTAAGCATAGTTCCTATAAACAATGCAAGGTCTCAAAAGGCGAAGCAGTCTCAACCAGTCATTTCCATTTGGGGCAAAACTTGGACAATACTGGGCCAATAGAAACCCAAGTTCAAATTCCTGCTCAGTTACAAAGCTTGCTGTTTAATTTGCACATGTCAACCATCTCTCAGCCTAATTACTTCACAGGGGCATTGTGAGAATAAAGGCAGTAAGCCATAAAACTCCCTGAATTCTTTGGAGGGAAAAGCCAAGATACAACCAGTTTGAGATAACACATATCTGAATAGTTAAATTCAGATGACTGTCTACTTAGAAGTAAGTCTTCAGTTCAGTGGAGCTTACTCCCCAGGTGACTGGGCATAGGGCTGCAGCCTGAATGAGAAAATAATTGCAAAATCAAAGAGTATGAAGAGACTGCAAGCTTCAAAAATGAGTAGAATCTTGGTCCAGATTTTGCTTGTCTGTTAAATCCTTGTCTGTTGCAATTATGCAATGAGGGATCCGCATGAGGCCAGTATGATACCAGTAGATGTTCCAGGGTAACCTTTTCATGGATTTGAAGGGATACTTGATTTTTTATGCACTTGATGGGGCTAGATGAAACTGCATAATGAATGGTAATAAGGGGATTGATGAACAAATTGTTAGTTGACATCAACGTTTCTTACAGATTTTGCAGAACTGAGATGCTAGCAACAGGCTTAATAAAAGATTAACTTTGTGCTATTTAAAATGTCATTTTAATCAGTGATCGCTTTCTAAATCCTGCTTTCTAATTTATTTGATCAGAGGAAATTAACTAATGTACTTAGAATTTAGATAGAATTTGCCTTTTTCTGAGCTTGTTTCAGACAGGCTTCAAAGAGGAAAAGGGAGTCTCTGAAAGTGAAAATCTACTAAGCTTTTCTTCTCTCAGACCTCATGATAGCAGTGGGTGATGGCACTAATAACATCTAACCCTTGAGGATTAAGAATTTAATTAGACCAGTTCTTTATGTTGTCTTGGTAAGATCCACAATTATCAGTTTCATTAGAGCCATTAATGCTAGTAATGAACAATAAAAATAGCATAAAATGAAATATATGAAGGATATTTTAAGAGATGTTACCAAAATGGCCAATTAAGTTGTATGTACTTACTGGGATTAAAACTAAGCATTTGTATAATAAATATTATTAGTGACCCTTTAATGTTGTTGATATATCTTTCTAGAATTGTAGTGTGACATAAAATATTCTTAGAGTGCACTAGAATTACAAGGGCTTATTCCAGTTCCCTCTACCAAAATTAATGTTCCTCATTCTATTGAATTATTAAAGATTCTGTGGAAACATAACATTTTTGGACTGTTTCTTTCAGCAGTATGATTTAATTGTCTCAAACAAGTGACCAGTATGTGGCAACTGCGTGGTCCTCACAAAATAGGTCCCAAGACCTACAGTAACATGAACTGCTGCGAGATGTGGCCAAAAGAAACAAGTACCATTTCTGTGGCCATTTTGTAGTTTTCTTCACAATTAAAAACTTCATGGGCTCTGCCGCTTCTTAGCTTCAGGGGACTACAAAGCCTGATGGCTGGCTTTCCTGGTGCCCTTACTATCTTCCCAAGAGAGGTCAGTAGATCTCCTGGGGTTAGTGGCATGCAGACCACTGCAAGAACTGTCATTACTCCAGCTATTTCAGACATTATAGAACATCTAGAACCTCTTCTTTGCCAAGTTGCTAGCTAGAGCTGAATTTCATGTGGGCCTTGAGGACCTAATCTGACCCAGGAGCCAGGGCAGTGGGGTTTGGTCTGAGAGACCTGGATGACCCACATCTGCCATAAAAGTGTTGTTTGGCTATTGGCAATTTAAGCCTTGTCCTCAAGTTTATGTTGGTAAAATGGGGTCAAATAACTAAATTTGCACAAGAGATATTGATGTGCTTTATTTAAAAAAACATACAAAATGAAAATAGCTTAATAAATAGAAAAAATATTCTACAGTAAGACTAATAGACCCAGTTAAAGATGCATCCCATAATTACGCTTGTAAGGTGCGAATGTTAGTAGGGGTTGGGATGGCAGAGGCTTTGTTTAGTGTTCTGAAGTGTTGAGGGTTGACAGCGGAACACAGCAGCAAAGCCAGATAAAAGCTACATGATCAGTGGCTAGGATGCTGGGCATTGAGTTGTAGACTGGCTGGAAAGTAAGACTCTGCTTGGCCCTCCAGTTCACTGGGTGGCTTTGCATATGCTGTGATTTTCTTAATTTATTGTGAGAAAAAATGATATTGGATCTGTGAAGCATTTTGTACACTGAAAAGTGCTATAGAAATGTATAAACACCACATTTTTGCTTTATTGAAATGGCTAATAAAAGGTAAATCTTGATTTCACCAACATTTCTAGATCAAGAAATGTTTCCATATTATTGTTGCTGTTATGTATTATGATTTTTTTCAAGATTGGGTGGGCTAGCTAGAATTCTTATAGGTAAGTTGGTATTTTATTTCATGTAGGTAATGATTTTCCAAATGTTTATTTTTGATATTTAGAAGTGTAATGTTTGTTATATTTTTGCATATCCTGTGTCAAAGCACTGGAATAACCATAACAGTATCTTGAGATATTTGGCTGAAGACTTGATCTCTGGAAATATTTGACCTAAAGAATGATTTTGTTTTACAGTTTGAATTATTTTACAGTCAGCATTTCAGTGGGAGGAAACTTACCTGGTTACATTACCTCTGCACAGGTAAAAATAAGTGTGCATGTTTTTTACCTTATGAATACATTTTCTCAATTCATACTAACAATTATTTTTATTAGAACATATAAATCCTTTGAACTTTGGAACAAGCAAAATAAATAATATACTTAAATTTTAATGTATCTTCCCTAGCATAGTTAATATCCTTTTGCTGATTTATCTCAATGGGTGTCTTAATCTCTTTTTATTCTTGCCTGTAGGATTTATTGCTTTAGAGATTATATCATCACATTATTAACTGAGCATTTTCCAGAAAGGAATTATTTTCCAAGGCTGCTCTTTGGAAAGCACCCAATTTATTCACATCTATTCAAGAAATGTAAAATGTTAGAATTAGGATAAGTATACAGGCACTTCAAAATAGATTCATCTTAAAAGTATTAATGAAGAAAATGAAATTAATGCAGAAATATAGACGAATGAATGGGGAGGTACAGGAAGTAAAATTTACTTTATTAAGGACAGTTAGTAACACTGCTACAATGTGCACAAGTGCTGGGTTTACTCATGCTCTTGTTTTGAGGTGGGCCTCTTAATACAACTAGGTAAGATAGTGCTTAATGTTAAAATACTTCTATAGCACTTGTCAGTTTTCAGAGCGCTTTGCTTTTCTTACCTCATTTTTCTTCACAACAACCCTGCAAACCAGGTTGCGTTGCTGTTTCTCAGCCACCAGGCTGGGACCAAATGCTAGGTTTTGCGGAGCTGCTTATTTTTAACCCCAAGTTGATGGAAAGATTCAATGTTTTACGTATAACATAGATTGCATATTAAACTGGTATGTAAAATATATAATTAATTTCCAGGTGAGGTCAAGATGAATTATTTGTGCAAGCCATATGTAGCCATGGTCACAACCTACCAAATGGCAGTGCTGCTTGCTTTTAACAATAGTGAAACTGTTAGTTACAAAGAGCTTCAAGACAGTACACAGATGAATGAGAAGGAACTGACGAAAACTATCAAGTCGTTACTTGATGTCAAAATGATCAATCATGACTCGGACAAGGTATGTCACAAAATGGTAGAGATTCCCTTGCTTGAATGCTTCCTTTCTGCCTCTTACTTGCATTTGCAAGTGTTTTATTTCGTATTTTCCATGGAGAAGTGTTATCTCCCATCGCTACTATCTGTAGTCTATGTAGAAAAGCACATAGGCTACATTTTTGGCAGGTTGGGGTTGCTGGCCATGAGAACTGCAAAGCTGATTACACATGCTTTGAAAAGTTTTGGGGTACGTGGTTCTCAAACATCAGCCCTGGGGTATCATGGCAATCTGCTTTGGCAACTTAAGGGAGTTTCAGGCAGTTCGCAAATACGGCATGGAGGTGTGCTTTTTTCAAAACAGAGAGAAACTTATAAATGAATTACTTAATTGGACACGAACTTTGGATACCGGCCGAAGTCAGGAATGGGGGCAGGTTGTGCATAAACTAAGCAAAAGGCCTTCGAGGGACGCTTCAGCCTCTATAATTGGCAGGGAGAACTCCACAGGAGCTTTTCTGACCTTGAAATGGGTCTCTCCTAGAGGGGTGTTTACTAACCAAACTGCACTAACCGAGCTCCCACTGCAGCAGAAGCATGTCTTTAAAGTTATTTCTACTCCACAGAATGAAAGCAGGCTATCTGTAAAGAGAAGGGACTCCCCCCACCCCCAGTGTCTGTTGTAATTCAGCTTTAGAGGACTAGGAAATATACTTTCCATGTTAGTTTCATATTAAGTACTACTTTCATACTAAAGTCTAACACCACAGGATTGAAACACTAATACTTGTTCAAATTATTTGCCTGTAATGTTATACACACTGTATTTTATTCCTATTGGCAATTTTGAGGGGTTCTTTGTATGGGGTAATAAATTGATCACACTGGGCTCATTTTGAAAGTGATCATATATGCAAAATATATTGCTTATATTACAGCCAGAGGCAGCCCAGGGAAGTTAAATAATTCAGACCTGCCAAATAGAGTGAGTAGCAGCAATATGTTTACATTTCAATGGAGAAGATGTAAGCCATATGTGTATCTGGTTCATTTAAGCAAGCTTTTCTTTGGAAAAGCAGATGAGCTGTTAATATGTTTGGCACAATTTGCGTGTGAAAGAAATAAGGTGTGTGTTTCTTACTGCAGGAAGATGTTGATGTGGAGTCTACTTTTTCTTTAAATATGAACTTCAGCAGTAAACGGACAAAATTTAAAATCACAACATCAATGCAAAAAGATACACCACAGGCAAGTCTTACTAACACGTTTCTTTCAATTCCCCACAGGTATGGTACAAAACTGAAACTCAGTTTTAAAACTTAGGGAATCTTTTTCTTGTTAACAAGGGAAAGCATTAATGGGAGGGAAGTAAGTGAGATAGGTAAAAGGACGTTCTGAAGCTGCCATGTCCATACCTGCAGATTGCTGTTATGACCATATCCCAACATTGGGGTGGATCTAGGGCATACTTGGAACCCAACCCATTGAAATGAATGGGACTTAAAACTGAAGTTGCACTGCTTTCAATGGGTTTACTGTAAGTATTACTTACGTATTGACCAATCCAATATAAACAACCCATGGGTAGAAGGTACAGCTATTATACAGCAGAACTTGAAATCTGTTTTCTAATGCATAAAGCAGCCCTATACATACTTACTCAGAAGTTAGTCCCACTGTGTTCAGGGTTACGTATCTATATATTTGTGGATATGATTGGAACCTATGTTCTACATCACATTTTCTCAAGTTCCTTGCTATACCTTTGCAGTAATGGCTCAAATATTCTTTTAAACATATTAAATTCTGTCTTGACAAGCATTAAATAAATTAAATATTTCCGTCAATAGGAAATATGTCTTTTGGTTTTCTTGAAATCTTCTATTTTTTATTCCTAGTTTTCATAGAACATGTTTATGTATATTCTGAAAATACTGTTTCTTTTAGTGGTCCATTCATCTCTGGTGGTTTTAGACAATGCTAGTTCCTGTAGCACTAACAATCCATTCCATTCTACTAGTGTGGGGGCAGTATCTTATAACTGACCCTTGTAATCACAGCTCCATAGTTCACAACCCAGTGCTTCAGTTCAACTCTCGTAGCTAAGAGAACAAAATAAAGAAGTACTTCTAGGTTGTTTCCAAAATTTCAAAGCTATCAGCATTTTTATCCTGAACAGTAATTCTGAGTTTCAGAGAAGTTTCAGTCTACTCAGAAACTGTGCTCAGCTTCTGGGGCCTTCCTCTGAGAGCCAACTCCAAGGGAAGTACAGAGGGTGACATCAAGGGGGAAAGCTTTCTTTGTAGTGCATCCCCTTGTCTATGGAACAGCCTTCCCACTGCAGCCTGCCTGGCATCAAATGTGTCTTATTTCCAGTGCCTGGTTAAGATGTATGTCTTCTCTGAGGCCTTTAAGAACTTACTTGGCCACCCAGGAGTTTGAGGGGGTGTTCTGCAGAGTCTTTTTTTTTTTTTTTTTTTTTTTTTTTGCTATTTTCTGTTTTAGGTATTTCAAACTTCTAATTTTTCATGTGTTTATGATTTTCATTGATGGTTGCAAATCACCCAGGAAGCTTTTGCTGTGAGCCAATATAGAAATCAAAATAATTTCATGTAGAATGTAGCAGCAGTTTCCGGAGGCTCTCTTCTCCTGGATCAGACCAGTGGTGCATCAAGTCCATCCTCCTGTTTTCTGCAGGTGCCACTCAGATGCTTCTAGGAAGTGAACCCTCTCCCATTACTGCTGCCAGCAGCCAGTATTCAGTGGTATGCTGTTTTCAGAGCTGGTTATATATAGCTGTCATGACTAGAAGCCATTGGAAAGAATGTTCAGACTGTAGTTTTGCTTACCAGAGACAGAAAAGAAGAATGCATATCCCACTATTTTAAGTGGTGCATCTTTGGAATTGTACCAAAGATGCACTTGCTTGACCTGATAATGTTCAATAAATATTTCTAGCATATGTATAAGATTTGCCTTGCAGGATCAGACCTAGATCAGTCTATCCCAATATTCTGTTTTCAGCAGCCAACCACATAACATGCCTTAAGAAGTTTGCATTGTGGCAGTGGTTTTCCTCTGTGGTTCATCTCTAGTTACACCATTTGCAACTTATTTTGCCTTTCTTTGTGGTTCTGATTTATTACTATGTCCATTATATCCATCAGCAATTAATGGCTAAAACTTCATTTCCAAAATTCATCTAAACAAATACCTTTTATTACATCTTCTGGTGGTGAATCCCATTAGCTATCCATCTGCAGTGTACGAAGTACTCGCCTTTGGCACACCTAAACGTGACTGCACATAGTCTTTACTTTACTTCTAGTATTACACAAGCAAAAGAAATAGTTTATTCTCTTCATATTGTTCATAGTTCTCATGAACCATGATGTTGATCCTTAATCTTTTTAAAACCTAAGCTCTTAACTGGCATTGCACTTTCAAAGTTATGCTTCAATGCCTTTTCACTTAGTTTGTAGCTTTAGAGGGTTGTCCCAGTGACCTTCCGTCCAGGAACTTCTGAGATCATCATCCATTTTAACTTTGGAGAGCACTAGAGTGTTGGTGTCCTCCAGATTACTCACTAACAAAAGCTCTAGCTAGCTTTGAGCATGATGAAATGTGCAACTTGAACAGCCAATTCCATGATTGTACACCTGGAGTAAGCATCACAATTAGCCCACTGAACTGCACTTTTCTTAACTATTTTTTGTATATTACAGGAGATGGAACAAACTAGAAGTGCTGTAGATGAAGATAGGAAAATGTATCTTCAAGCTGCTATAGTCCGTATCATGAAAGCACGAAAGCTGCTACGACACAATGCTCTTATTCAGGAGGTATGTGTGACCTGGTGTTATACCAGTGGAACTATTTAGAACACGAAATGCTGTGGCGATGGATGGAGTGTATGTGGCTATTTTGTTTGGGTTAGTAGGTCCTAGTACTACGTGTAATCTTGGAATTCTGGTTTTAGAGCAGTGGATTTTAATTATATGCCTTTGTACATAAAATGGCCTGCTAGGCATCCCTGAGCAAGCTAAGCAGTGTAAAAACATCATATCTGAAAGACACTTGTACCTTGGAAAGTTTCCAGAAAAAGCATGTGCTAAGGGTCTGGGTAGGTGTACATGGTGGGGGCGGGGGGAGGGAAACTCATTTAGAAATATGAGGTATGATGCTGTGAGGAAGTGGTTCATAGTGAAGCGGTTCATAGTTTAAAGGAAATGAATGTATCCTTTCTTAAATGTCATTCTGCAAAATGTTGATACTTGGCTTAGATTAGAAGGTTTTTAAACCCACATTAACCAGTTGGTTTTCATATAAAATGTGTCTTCTCTCTCTTTCTCCTTCTCTCCTTCAGGTAATTAGCCAATCAAGAGCTAGATTTAATCCAAGTATCAGCATGATTAAGAAATGTATTGAAGTTCTCATAGACAAACAGTACATTGAGCGAAGCCAGGCCTCAGCAGATGAGTACAGCTATGTAGCATGAGGTTAATATCCTGTAGGTATGGTTGTATGGAGATCATTGCTGTCACTGCTTGGTGTGTCCTGTGGGGAAAAAAGCAGGGCTGTCGTGCCTCCATAACTGGTCACTTGGCAGTCCCTGTTTTTTCTGCTGTTTACAACATCACCAGTGCCACGTCATGAGCGTCAATGAAAACAAAGCCTATAGATATTCCAAGCTCATGTCATTATGACATTTCTTAAAACTTTACTAAAAGAGAATGAGTGAAGTCTTGCTGAAATGTGGAAATTTTGGTTGGATACCATGCTTTTCCCTCACCCCCTCCATCCCCCCACGTTTGCAGTTGATGTTTTTTAATGTATCTTAAAATGCAAAGTTAAAACAGACTAAATATTGTAATATGGCAGATAACATAATTGTATCTACATTAAAATGTAAAAACAAGAACATGATACTACTGCTCGTCAAATAAATAAAGAAATGGAATATGTTGCGTGACTTGATTTTTAATTCAGAAATAAAACAGTTTTGAAGGACTAATCTAAATTATTTTCGGTCTTAAGTGCACCTACAAATTAATCTGCATTTTACTCTGAAACAAAATGCATTCTATGAAATAGCATGTATAGCCTGTAGCTGGGAGTGGCCCTTAGTTATTATGTATTAGGCTAAAAATAATTGACCTACTTCCAGTTTACTTTGTTCAGGACTGAAATGCTAATTTGAAAACTGGAAAATTCAGATTTAACTATGATGTAACTAGCAGGCCAGCCTCAAGGATTGGCACGTCGTCGTTGGGCCCACTGATAAACACCCTTCTGGAGTCACTTGTCCTCTTCACGATTAGAACCCCTTGTTCACCTCCTTTTTCACTCTGGCCAAGACAGTGGTGGTGGTAGGAAGGAGAAACAGGCAAGGCTGCTGCTTACTGGCTCTCTGCCTGTCAAGCAAGCTGAGCAGTATTAAGAAAGAGAATCAGGAGCAAAAGCAGTAACAATGGCAGAGAGAAGACTGACTAATTGGGAGAGAGCAGCTGTGAGGGCCTTCAGAAATCTGGTGGTGGCCCTGAGAAGGAGGGGTTTATTTTAGTTTGTTGTTCTTTTTTGGGTATAACCCAATATGATCTCAGAGTTAGCGAAGTTGGATTGCCCTGACCCTTATTACAAAATCTTGTTTGCTTTGCTAATGCACCCCATAGCCTGAAGCCCTTGCAAATAGTCTTTATTTGTTTGGGATTGTGTTGGGATTGTTTTCTGTCCCTTTTTGTTAAGACATTAATGCTACTGACTTATTTAACCACAAAGCTTAAGTACCAACAAAGGAGAACCTAAAGGTAAAAGGTGCTTTGCTCTTTTTCCTTAAGGCCGTCCTGGCTTGCCTCCTTCATATTTAAGACCCTGTACATGCCTGCTCACAGCAAGAAATACCCTCTTGGCCATGCCCAAGATTTTGGAGGTCTAGTTCATGATGGCTCAGATTAGAGTCTGTGGTCTCATAACAGCTACCCTGTGAAAACCCCTATTGCCATGAGTTAGTCAGGTGCCTATCCTGGGTATATGGTGCCTACTAAAAGCAAACTTTCATAACAAGTATCCTTAGGTAAGTATTCTTTTCTAGGTGCAGTAATAATTGGCAGCATCATGGTTTTATACTGTATTTTGCATATGCTTTAGAATTCTTTGAATGTAAGTAATGCATAAATATCATTAAATAAATGGCAGTCCCTGTGCTATATGCTGTCAAGTAATCTCTGACTTAGAGCAACCCTGTAAATGGATTCCTTCCAAGATGGCCCACCCTTTACAGCCCTGTTCAGTTCTTGTAAATTCAAGGCCATGGCTTCCCTTATGGAATTGGTCCATCTCATACTACACCCAATATAGGTTGAGTTGAGCCTGCCCCTGGTGAAGGTGCACCTGCCTCAAGGTGGTCTTTCCTGTTGGTATCTTCGTTCACCCTACTTCAGCCATCACCCTTACCTATGGAAAGGAACAGCCTTCATGCAGACTTTGCTGGATTTTAGTATTTCTAGTCTGCACCTCTGTCCTCAGTGCCCCTCCTTGCAAACACCCCATTTTTGGGGGATGTTTCCATAGCTTGCATCTTTTCCTTTCTCTATGAAGGGCTTGCAGAGTCCCCATAATTCACCAGGGACCTGGCTATAGGAGTACTGGGCTAAACATAATGGTGTTCAGAGAAAGCGAATGCATTCTTCAATTGTGCAGGAAGGCCTGGAGTATAGTACACCTGCCTATGAATAAATAATATAAAGTGAGATCATTCTTTTAGTAGGTAGACTTCCTGAAAACCTGTGAGGTTTTGTATTAGAAAGTAGTGTATGGAATTCTTACAGCACTCTAGGTAACTTGTTTCTGGAGTATAATGCATTTCCAAAATCTCAGAGGCAAGTCTATAGCCAAACTCTGGTGCAGTAGTTTGGCAAAGCAAAATTGTTTCTTTTTTTCTTTTCTTGAGGCTGCCTGGAGAACAGCAATAATGCTGACTGTTCAATATTTATTGGCCTTTATTCCTTTCCCACTTCATAATCCCCATCTCTACAGTGCTGTTTTCCCTCAAACACATTGAAATTGAGCTAGGGTGGAGTCACTAATTAGGCTGGACAGTTTTCCCTTAAATGCTCGAGTATGAAGCATGCATTACCATCTTTAGCCACTAGGTAGCAGATGTTGCTAACCAGTGCATACAAAGTAGCTTTGTAGTCAACAGTTTGAAGCCAAAGGGAATTAATTAGTCCAAAGGACCAGGAGATGTAGCTATTCTCTCACCTGCTACAGGGAGAGCAGCTGCATCTCCCCACAGCTGCATGGTTTTGCTGGAAGGCAAATTATCAACCCAAAGGATCTTCCAACACCTGTCAAAGTAAGTATATTACCTAGTTATCTGTGGAGCTCTAAAATGTTTTGGGTCAGGGCCTTTGAAGGACTGTTTCCACTACATTCCTCATCTGAGTGTACCTGTGTCTTGTGGCCCCCTGAATCCAAGAAAGGCAGGCCGTTTTGGTTCTGGCATCCAGGCTGTGGAACTCCTAGGTCAGTGTAACTTTTTGGCATTGTGTTAAGACCTTTCTCCAGGCTCTTGGGCTGAATTAATTTCATTCACCTGTTGCTGGGACTGTTTTAATTGGCTGTGAGTTTTCCTCGTCCATTTTATTTTGCATATTTGTTTCCTAGCTTAATATGCTTTGGGGAAGGTCTAAGTTTGGAAGGACCTTGAAAACACACTTTTACTGTGTATTAAATTACAGCACTTAGTGTTAATAACTGTACTTAGCATTCTGTGTGTAGATAAAATGATGCCTGTATATTTTGTTTCAAAGTTATTTGTTAGTTATTCAAAGTTACTCAAAGATGGGTTAGCAGGAAGTGCATGTGAGAAATATTAGGGGGGCAAATCTGTTGCTTAACTTTTCTGGGTACTGAAAATGTCATTGAAAAATAGAGTGCATAAGTTACCACATAGATTATTTCTTCAGTAGTGCCTCATTTGTCACTACAGTTAGCCCACAAATTATTTTAAGCACAATTCCCCATATCTGTATGGGTACAGCATGATGTTGCCTTATGTAGTCTTATTGCCTTGCTCAACAAGCCAGTCATATGTTTCCTAAGAACCATCTTGCTGTGTGTCAGAATCCCGGAATCTCAATTTGAGAAGAGGAAATAAAACTCGGGGTCGTAGGAAAGATCAATCGTTATGAACCTCCGCGTCTTTATTGTCTATCCCAGGTTCCCATGGTTGACTCATTACCAGGCTAGCAGAGATGAACTCTGCTGCAAAGCTTCAATACCATTACAGGGCATTTATAGGTACACAGGTACAGGGCAATTGATGACAGAATACAGAGATTACAATAAGATTCTGAGGTCACCACATGCAGAACAGATAAAGAAATGTCAGTCAATCATACAGTAACAATGAGATTACAATATTTCTAATTGCCTGTATTGACACTTTAGTTCAGTAGCTTGAACCCATCTCCAGGTCTGCTGAGACGTGCAAATTCAGGCCACTAGGAACTATTCATGATAAGCTCAGACCCTTATCTCGACTCTAAACATTCTGCATGATCAGGGCACATGAAGCCCTCTGAGCTATCAAAAGATTATTGTAAACTGAATTCCAACAATGACTATTTATAATGGATATTTGGGCTAAAATGGCCTACTGTAGCCTATAGCTAAAGGTGAGAGAAAGGAGTGAGGGAATGCCATTTTAAACAGTGAC